ACCTTTTCCCTAGTGAGGAAATCTCCAGTGACCGAAAGATCTCCAGTTAGATGTGGCTGTACCGGCATGCTATCCGTGGCACCCGGGAAGTGTGTGCAAAGAAGCAGATCCAGTGATTCCTCCTCGGTCTCTGTCCAGGAGCCGTCAGGTCTTTGCAAGCATCCTGGGGCTTTCTGGGCAGTACCTGAGAGTATCTTTCTGAGCCTGCCTGCCTCTGAGATAGACTCCACCCCATTGCAGAAGTCTTTCCATGAGGTTCTTTTCGACCTTCTTAGGAGCTTCTTGTACTCCCGTAACGTTGTCTTGTAGGTCTCCCAATGACCCTCACTACCAGACGCAGTAGCCTGATTGAAGGTTTTCCTGCAGTTCTTGCGTGAAATCCTGATTTCTTCATTCCACCAGGGTGGCTTTTTCCTACCCCGGTGCTGCTTTTTGGGGCATGCAATGTCTATTGCCTTACTGCAGGCCCCCGTAAACTGGTCGACAAGATATTCCAGCTCCTCTAGGTTTGCTGGAGTAGCCGGCTCTCTATCTTGTGGCAAAAGCCTATCCAGCTCTTTCCGATACCTATGCCAGTTGGCATTTCGCAAGTTTCTAGTTAGAGGAGCCTTGGGCGTTTCCCCTAATACCTCGAATTGGATATATCGGTGGTCGGAAAAGGAGTGCTCCTCAAGCACCTTCCACTTCCCGACCAGACATTCCGCATTCTCAGAGATGAGGGTAACGTCCAGAATTCTAAGAATTTTGTATTTTTTTCACACAAGTACCATGAACTAGAGGTTTACGCCGACAGACCTTGCGGCGGCGGCGTGGTCAACTTCAAAAAGAATCGGCGGCGGCGGTGACGCCGGCGCGTCTGGAACGCCGGCGCCACTGCCCATAAGGTAGATTCCAAAGAGCCATGAGGCTACTAATCTTATCATGTCATCTCGTCAGCGTTAGGCATTAATGCCAATTCAGATTATAGTTCTATTTAATTCATTCATTGAACTAGTTTAAATTTAAATTACGATCCTTCCTACTTGAATTAAAATGTTGAGTGCCTGGCGCTGATGGATGGGCGAACAGAAGAAGGTCTGAGGTATATACATACATACACACATGGCTCTGTATGTTTTCTACACCCTGCAGGAAATGTATCTAACTATAAGCTAACTTTAAGTTGATTAGGAAGGAGCTAAAAGTCACTTATTATCTGTATATTTTCTTTGACGAAAGCTAACTATATTTCTATGGCGATGGCCGCGAAATAGTCAAGGGTGGTTTACCTCTGCATTAGATGTAGTAAAAGGTGGTTACCTCTGCATTTGATGTTACTAACTTTTAACTAACTACTTTTGGGCATAAAATGTCAATAGGAAAAACAAAATATTTATTTTTATTTACTTTATTACATTTCATATTTGTTTTCATATTCTGCTGTAGGTGGTCCCATATTCGAACTCCGTCAGACATAACTTCAAAATGATAATATGTAATTTCGATCATCCTTTTATTTGTCCGCAACGCATTTGTCCAAACGCGTTTAAAAAAAACAATCTCCTTCATTACTTTTCAACTAGTTTCAAGCTAGCTTTTTGTAGCTAACTACAAGTTATATATTTTATAGAAATCCCGCAAAAAAGCTAACTACAACTGGGTTATTTTTTATCAATTGATAATGTTTTTCTGCAGGACAGTTCCGTATGTGCTATTTAAATTTAAAGAAATAAAAAATTTTAAAAGTTAAGTTATTGGGATAATTTATGTCGCTGCAATAATCTTATCAAATATTATGTTAAATTACGGAGATCTTACGGATTACATATTGAAAACAAGCTTGGGCTACTTTTTTCCAAAAGTTTAACCCATCAACTCGAACCAGAACGGGTCTTTTTGACCCACTGTTTAAAAAAATGGCGTATAGATGGTTAAAATTTCCACTAAAATATTAATTTTTCTAAGGAGAACCGAATATAATGAAAAATAGTACTAATGTTTACCATAAAGAGAGAACTTTAACCCTGTGTAGAAAACATTGCGATGCGAGAGAGCAAAACCTTCCTGGGGTTTGACCACCACTAAGGAATGCTAACGTAATTTTCACACAGCCACATTAGCAAAAAAAAAGTGTTTGCTCTTTATTGAAAGTCTGTTTAAAATATTAAAAAAAATACTCAGGAAGGAGTTAGATGAACAAGAAGCTGCTTCTGTTAAAACTTTCTAAGATATTGGCGTTAAAGTTTTTGATGGTGAAGTTCTTGTTATTGTAGTAAAAAATTAGTATTATTGTAGTATTGGAAAGAGTCGTCTGCTGCGGAAAAAAATCGTTAGATTACCAGTATTCGACCCTAATTTAACTGTAATAAACACGCTTTCGATCGAAAAATATGTTACCTATTTTTTTCTGAGTTACGCTCTTTTTGGAAAAATAAAGGAGATCATATTCTTGTCCAGTGGCCCAAATTATGCAAAACAAACTCCTTTAAAAAAGTAATTTTCATTTCGTAAAATTGTTTTTAAACGAGTAGTATTTAGTTCCCTCAAACGATGTATTTCAATGTACATACTTCATGAAAATTTTGTACAAAATTCCTTAGGCGCCNGTTCCGTATGTGCTATTTAAATTTAAAGAAATAAAAAATTTTAAAAGTTAAGTTATTGGGATAATTTATGTCGCTGCAATAATCTTATCAAATATTATGTTAAATTACGGAGATCTTACGGATTACATATTGAAAACAAGCTTGGGCTACTTTTTTCCAAAAGTTTAACCCATCAACTCGAACCAGAACGGGTCTTTTTGACCCACTGTTTAAAAAAATGGCGTATAGATGGTTAAAATTTCCACTAAAATATTAATTTTTCTAAGGAGAACCGAATATAATGAAAAATAGTACTAATGTTTACCATAAAGAGAGAACTTTAACCCTGTGTAGAAAACATTGCGATGCGAGAGAGCAAAACCTTCCTGGGGTTTGACCACCACTAAGGAATGCTAACGTAATTTTCACACAGCCACATTAGCAAAAAAAAAGTGTTTGCTCTTTATTGAAAGTCTGTTTAAAATATTAAAAAAAATACTCAGGAAGGAGTTAGATGAACAAGAAGCTGCTTCTGTTAAAACTTTCTAAGATATTGGCGTTAAAGTTTTTGATGGTGAAGTTCTTGTTATTGTAGTAAAAAATTAGTATTATTGTAGTATTGGAAAGAGTCGTCTGCTGCGGAAAAAAATCGTTAGATTACCAGTATTCGACCCTAATTTAACTGTAATAAACACGCTTTCGATCGAAAAATATGTTACCTATTTTTTTCTGAGTTACGCTCTTTTTGGAAAAATAAAGGAGATCATATTCTTGTCCAGTGGCCCAAATTATGCAAAACAAACTCCTTTAAAAAAGTAATTTTCATTTCGTAAAATTGTTTTTAAACGAGTAGTATTTAGTTCCCTCAAACGATGTATTTCAATGTACATACTTCATGAAAATTTTGTACAAAATTCCTTAGGCGCCGAACGCCGCCGCCGCCGCCGCTGCGCCGATATTTTCGTAACTCGGCGGCGGCGCGTGAGAAATGACAAAAATTGGCGGCGTATACCTCTACCATGAACACAAGAATTTTTCGACAATTTTTGATGTTTCACATTTTTATATTTTAGGATGGATTTTGGGATAAATAAAATTCTCAAAATTTTGGAAAATATAAAAATTTCTAAAATCTCAATAATTTTGTACATTTCAAAATATTCTCATTTTACCAAAATTTCTAGAATCTCCCGGATTTCGATAGTTTTTGAAATTTTTGAAATTATCCTACATATAAGAAATCCGAATCGTTGTTTTCTGAACCTGTGAAAATATTCAAACTTGCTGTGACTTTCAACTTCTAAAATAATACAAATTCGAAAATATAACAAAAAAGTAAAAATTGAAAATTAAGTACAGTACGAATTTCCCCAATTTCTTCTACCTGGGTCCGCCACTGTGTTTGTATGTTTCACAGCATGCTTTCGATAAACATCGACTTCACATCATTGCGGTAGTTCTGGCTATTTCACACAATTAACAAGAAACTTATACCTTATTCTTTTGCATAAACATGCAATGAAAGTAAAAATTACATAAACGGATGATTAAACTTGACATTATTTAATAAACATGTCATATTTCCAAAATATCGTAAAGAAAAATCGATACATTTTCACACTCGTTTTGCAATATCGTAAACCTAAGTTAAAACTACTTAGTAGAAGTCTGAAATGCGACTATGAATAGAAGTGAATTTTAAGTTGGTACTTAAATTTAAATTGCAACTTTATTAGTTTAGTGGCTGGACTATGAATACGCGCCATTATATTTTAAGACGTTCACGAAAATATTTCGGAAAAATATTAAGATTTAAGCGAGCTGGACCGATTTGAAAATACTTCCAAAAATGGAGCTTTTTATGAATAATAATATTTTCTTAAAGATGTTTTTTGAATAAATCCCCTCAAATGACAAAACATTTTAAGCTTAAAGCTTAAAAAATGATAATGAGATTTTTGATGCTGTTTTTTAACATTTTTCAAAGATTTCTATAAATAAAACTTGAATAACTGAACCTAAACTCTTCCGATTTAGACTTGGAGGTATCATTGGAAAGGCATTTTCTCACCCTTTTTTTTCTTTGCTCATTCAAAGGATGAAAGAGAAAGGCAGAATGAACAAACATCATTCAAAGTTGAATTAAGATGTGTTGGTATTTGAAAAAAAAATGGGACATGAATAACTTTTTTTGCACATAAATAAAAATAGTGGGAAAATACCTTTGGCCCAGTTATTTAAGTTTTTGACAAATCATTCTTTGAAAAAAGTAAAAAAAATAGCATCAAAAATCTCGTTATTACGATTCCGCTGAAAAGATTTTTAAATATTTTTATGCAGATTTTTTAAGCATAATCTGTTTTGTCATCGGAGGGGACTATTTTCAAAAAGTTCTTTAAGAAACCCATTTTATTCATAAAAAACTCCATTTTTGAAATCGGTCCAGGTCGCTTAAATTTTTATATTTTTCCGAAATATTTTGATGAGCATCTTAAAATATAATAGATTTTGTAATCCCGGCGGAAAAACAGCAACTTTTTCTGGTTATGCACTCTAATATACATATATGTGCAGGGATATGAAATGTAGACCTTCCTTTTATTGAGTCTTCTTTTAAGTAATACATACATATATATTCTTATTCTATTTACGTGTATATATATTTGGTTTCTTATTAATATCCTTATAATGGCGAATCAAAACATTTAAAAGAGATAAACAATTTATAATGTTTTTTCTGCTTTTCTTTACCCTCAGTCTTCACCAGACGCCTACTTTTCTCATTAGTCAATCTTTTTACCACTAACTCCCATTTATTAGATATTAGATATAATAAATAAACGCAACCATTATAATAGAATAACATGCAGATACACCATTATATTGAAAAGTGTACGCTTGGAATATACTTTAACTACACGAATGCATGTATGCAATTTAAATGTTCATAGCCTTCAGCGGGGTCAGTTACAATTGTCGCTTTCGTACTAGTTACATTACTACTTCCAATAGCATATTATGCTCCAGGTAGTAAGAAATCGAGCTATTGGTTACATATTGCACCTTCCAAAGGTCGTCTTAATATGATTTAAATACAAATAATAAAATTTGAATACTTATCCATGTTCGGACTGAAAAGTACCCAAATAAAGCAATACATATGTAGATACCCCTTTTTACATAACTAAAATTTTTTAATTTTTTTTGGTTTCTTTTCAAATATGTTTACATAAAGAAATTTGTTATTTATCATTTAAATGCAAATAATAAAATTTGAATACTTATCCATGTTCGGACTGAATAGTACCAAAATAAAGCAATACATATGTATGTAGACAACAGCATGAGTTTGCTCACTTCCATCTAAGTGGTACGAACTCATTGCTGTAAACTGTATACGGGTAGTGAGGAACACCGTATAAACAGTGAGATTCATAGTTATTTAGTTTTGAAATCAATGTTTAGCTGCAGTGTACTCATTTGATTTCGAATATGGCATTGATATACTCTTTCTAAATCAAGTCAAGCGAGTGAAAAACGCTGTTATGAAAAGCAAGTCGAGCAATCGAATGACACTCATTGACTTCAAACAATTAGTTGAGAATACGACAAATTTGAAAAAAAAGGATATTGATGAAGTATTTGTTTAAATATATTAGTTTTACTAACTTACTTAATTATCCACCTTACGTAATTTATATAACTAGTCTACAAAAGAAATGCACTTACCTCAGAAGACATCGGCTTTACAAGAGACTTGAAAAATAAGTTGCTTTATTATTGAAAACAGTTGCTGTTGAAACCTTAACAGATTTGCACAAAATTACGCCTTTTTTATACCCGCCGGCAAAAGAGTTAAAGAACTTTACCGAATCTGAGCAAAGGTACACGAAACAGAAATGTTTACAAATTATGAGAACGTTAACTGAGAATTCTGACAGTACAACGGAACCACAAATTGCGGAAACACCTTTGTTACTTTCAGACAACTTTGAGCTGTTTTCAGGTCTTCTTAAACAACCTTACCTTTGTGAGCAGAACTGATAAAGCTACTGCAGAGCTGCGGCGATATGAAAATATTGAGGTATATTTTCATACGGACTTCGATATAATTAATTGGTGGGAGGTACACAAATGCAAAATGCCGCTGCTGCATAAACTCAGTCCCAGAGTAATAGCCACTCCTTCAACTAGCGCATCGTCAGAAACAGTTTTTTCTTTTTGCTGGAAATGTTATTTCTGACAAAATATGCCACCTTTCGTCAAATGGTGATGCCCTTAATCAGTTGATATTTTTGCATTGTAATATGCAATTAGAAAACCAATAAAATTAACAAAAATTTTATTTACAAATTGTTTTTCTTTCATACTTTTATTACAGGAGTTATGGCATGCACTTGTTATTTGAATCGAGCACTTGATAGTGTGAATTACTCACTCAATTGACAATGTTTTTTTCAATACTATCGCACGTTATATTTGGAAATAAGTGCATTATCTTCACCATAAACTCCTCGCACGTTCGGCTCACTCATGAATTTGCGTATTTGTAAAATAGTTTATTTGTGTTGATGACATCAGTTTTATTTTTATCGCTCCGAGTGATGCGAAATCTCAAAATTTAAAACGACAAAACCGCAAAGCTTTTTACGCCAAACTTTAAATTCAGCAACTGACAATAGGGAAAAACCGAATCACAGTCAGGTGTTTGTGCCACCTGAAGTGTCCAGGCAGCAGTTCTAGAAGTTGACTGCAGTCCTGTCTGCTTAATGAGAGCAAAAAAATTGATAGACCTTCCGAGATTGAAGCAAAATAGGTTTTGCGGACCTGCAGCCCCTCGATGCCTTCCAGTCATTGATGAGTGAAGTATTCACCCAGTTTCTGATGGTGGCTTCGATGGCCGAAGTGTGGAGGAATAGCCGGTCTGAGCCAACTTTGGCCAAATAGTCAGATGTCTCATTGTTAGGCACTTCCGAGTGACCTGGCACCCAGAGTAAAGAAAGCTCGTGATGTTTACCAACATAATTTAGTCGGGATTTGCATTGGCGAACTAATTTGGAAGTCTTAGATAGAAGGCTGGCCAATGCGTTAAGTGCAGCTTGGCTGCCACTGCAGATAAATAAACTGCTTCCCGTCCACCTATTTTCCACCACGCAGTCCATGGCTTTGAAGATTGCAAATACCTCAGCCTGGAAGACCAAAGCATACTCCCTAAGAGAAGAGTGAAGTTTATCCCCATTAACTTCGAAAAAGACGCCAGATCCTGGCCCAGAATCAGATTTGGAGCTATCAGTGAAGATTCGGCAATGTGTGAGTCTGAGCTCAGTGCTGGAATTAAACCAGTATTCAGCCTCAGGGAACTCAAAATTATAGAATCTATTCAACAAAGGTAATATCCTGTAGCATTGAAAAGACACAAGTGCTCAAACCTTTGCCGCCAGCAATTTACGCCTAGCCCCACTCAGTGTTATACCAACAACCGTTTCTTTTATAGTCTGCAGGTGGCCTTGAAGCTTTCCCACGTATGAAGGCACAAAGTGACGGTAAGTGCAGCTGCGCGTCAAAAAAAGTTAAGTTAAATATAGAGGCTATCAAGCAACCATTTCCTTTATTTACTATCGAAACCAAATAAATTTTCGTGGACCTCCACTTACGACTAGTGGACCCCCATAATTTTTTCACGCCAACGTAGACCCCCGTCGAGTCTCCCGTGGACCCATGGGGGTCCACCTGGAACACTTTGGGAATCACTGGGCTATACGATGGTACTATGCGTTTCCCAAAATTTTCCATTTTCATGGTGAAAATTCTGAACGAAAATTTTTTTGTAATTTTCCTGAATTATGGTCATTTTTAATTATCTCAATCGAAAGATCAAGCTACATATAAATCACTAATAAAAAAGGGACTTTTTTTTTACTTTTCCGAGTTATAAAGCCTTTTAGAGCGCAGCGCGCTAATCTGCTAACCGTGCGAGTCATAATAATATTGTTATAACTTTGCAACTACTTAATGTTTAATTCTGAAGCTTTCGCAAAAACTTCCCCAGATAGTCTACAACACAGTTTTAAAACAAACAATTTATTTCAAACTTTATAACACAACTTTTGCATTTGAAAACAAGCACCCTCTTCATTTTTATAAAAAAGTTATAAACCTATAGTTTTATTTGTACTGAGTATTAAGAAGTGGTGTTAAACTTAAATTCTTTGGAATAGTTTGTTTGAAAATTTCCAATCGATGGATATAGTGAGTTTAAATGACAATCTTGTAAAAATTATCAACACGAATCAGTTCAGCCCAATAATAAAATTAACAATAAACAAGGATGAGATAATTTTGAGTATGGAGAAGAAGAAAGGGATAAATACAGAAATTAAAATAAAAGTGAAGAAACCTAAATATAAAGACAAAGAGGAAGGAAAATTTAAATACCTAACCTAATAAGAATGGTGGGGGTGAATATGTTAATGAAGAAAAGAATGGACATATTTAGATCAGGATAAAGGAAAGGATAAAGATGAAGAAGAAGATGAAGACCAAGACGAGGAAGAAGATGAAGATGAATATGAAGATAAGGATAAAGATAACTTATCTTAACTTAACCCCTTAACTTAACTTAACTCACCTCAACTCATCTCACCTCCGCTTAAAAACTTACTCCACCTGAGTTCGCTACACATTAATTCACCACACCTTAACTCCCCACACCTAAATCCACCACTACTTCACTCCCCACACCTAAATTCACCACACCTTAATTCACCACACCTAAATCCACCACACTTAAATTCACCACACCTTAACTCACCACACCCCAACATTCTCACCACATCTTAACTCACCACACCTTAATTCACCACACCTCAACTTTCTCACCACACCTTAATTCACCACACCTCAACTCACCACAACTCAATTCACCACACCTCTTAAGACCACCACACCTGAATTCAAAACACCGTAACTCCCACACCCAATTCCACCACACTGCAACTCATCACACCCAATTTCAACACATGACATGATATC